TTTGCAGTGCTCCCCCCTTTTTCTTTCTGTGACAGTTTCACACCTCCTTCACAAAGTGTATTAGTACTAGGGATATAGCATCATGAAAAGAAGGAGAAAACTTGGTAAAGATTTGCTTTTAATTTGCATATAGCAATTTTATCTGTGTAGATGCATCTTTCAAAATTACAAAATGATTAGAAATTTAACAAAGAACAGAAGAGAAGCAGGGCACTGCATTGGCTGCACTGAAAGATTGCCTTTGACTCTATCTCTTCATTAATTGTTTCTCTTTCAGAATTGACTGCTAAGTACTACAGGTTGAGTCTCCCTGATCTGAAATGCTTTGGACCAGAAGTATTTTGGATTTTTTTGGATTTTGAAATATTTGCATATACATAATGAGATATCTTAGAAATGGGATCCACGAAGTCTAAACACGAAATTCATTTGTGTTTCATATACCTCTTATAAGCATAGCCTGAAAGTAATTTTATACATAATATCTGTAATAATTTTGTGCATGGAATCAAGTTTGTGTACACTCAACCGTCAGAAAGCAAAGGTCAGAAAGCAAACCTATGTGGACAACTTCTAGATTTTGGAGTATTTCAGATTCTGGAATTCTGGATAAGGAATATTCAACCTGTATTAAGTACATTTGCTTCTGTTATTGCTCCCCAATAACATTTCCTTTTGTGCCATCTCTTTTGGGTTATAAACATGTGGGTTTATTTATTTCTAATATGTGTAAGCTGCACCATAAGGGTTTGGTGTTTTTTTCATTGAAAAATGTAGCAAGGTTAAAATGTTTTAAAAATCAGAGCTGGGAGCTGCCATCAATAAAACCAGCATTGCTAGTTCTGTGGGCAAGAACAGCAGCAGAATCCAGGAGATGGAGAAGAAATCTCAGTTGTGTGCGACGGTGCTGGTGGGTGGCTTGGGCAGTAATCTTTGATAAGAGAAGAAGGTGTGTTATGACAAGTATGCCCTTGTTTTCCCTTGCGAAATGCTGAGCAGTATGCAATCTTCAGTGCCAGCTCATAATTCTGTTGACAACCACTCCAACGCAGGTGTTCTGAATTTGATTAAAGGGAGAAGGAAAAAGAAACCTAGATAAAAATGTTGAAGGAATGAAGACAGCCTTTTAAAAGAACAAACAGGCTGCCCTCTATATCCATTGATTTTTCACCCACAGATTCAAGCATCCACGGCTTGAAAATATTAAAAAAGTATATAAATTCCAAAAAGGAAATCAATGATTTTGCTATATTCTATAAGGGACACCATTTTACTATGTTTTTGTATTGACTGGGACTTGAGCATCCATGGATTTTGCTATCTACAAGGGGTCCTGGAACCAAACCATAGTGGATACCAAGGGCCCACTGTAGTTCTCTCTATCCCAGGCCAGAACAACATATGGCCTGGGGGCCGCATGTGGCCTGCCATAGGATTTCAGGCGGCCCACGAGGATGTAGAACAACTTCAAGGCTCCTCCACCGCTTGTCCTTGTCCTGAAGAGATTGAAATGCAGAGGAGGAGGAGAAAGGGTGAATGCTCACTCTGCATGGCTCCTCCGACACCTGGCTTTCTCCTGAGGAGAAGGACGGGAAGAGGAGGATAGGCGAACACTTGTCCTGCAAGGCTCCTCCACTGCTTGGCTTTCTCCTGAAGAGAAGGACGGATGGAGGAGGAAGACGGGCAAAAGCTTGCCCCCTCAAGGAGCCCTTATAGTGCAGTGGTTAAATGCCAGTATTGCAGCCACTCACTCACAGACCACAAGGGTGTGAGTTCAATCCCAGCCAGGGGCTCAGGGTCGACTCAGTCTTGCATCCTTCCAAGGTCGCTAAAATGAGTACCCATCTTGTTGGGGGCAATTAGCTTACACATTGTAAACCGCTTAGGGAGTGCTTAAGTGCACTGATAAGCTGTATATAAATGTACTTGCTATTGCTTTTGTTATTTCCACTGCCTGGCTTTCTCCTGAGGAGAAGGCCAGGTGCCAGAGGAGGAAGATGGGCAAACACTCACTCTGCAAGCCTCCTCTGCTGCTTGGCTTTCTGCCGAGAAGAAGAATGGGTGGTGGAGGAGGAGGATGGACAAATGCTCACCCTGCAAGGCTCCCTTTTTGCCCGGCTTTCTTCTGAGAAGTCTGGGCAGCAGTGGAGGAAGAGGGGCTCACCCCTCAAGGCTCCTCTGTCACTTGGGCCTTCTCCTAAGGAGAAGTTCAGGTGAAGGAGAAGGGCAGGCAAGGCTCCTCTGCTGCTTGGCTTTCTCCTGAGGAGAGGGTGAGGCAGAGGAGGATGAAGATTAATATTATATTAATATTGTAAATTAATTAATATTTAATCAAAACCTATCTGTGGCCTGCAGAAGTTTAACCTGTTTTAATTTTGGCCCCTACCTACTACCAAGTTGTGCAGGTCTGCTCTAACCTGAGATCAAACCTTCCTAAATCCTTTAGATTGTTAAAGAATAACAGGAGCAGCTGGGAAGCAATTCCTTTCCATACCTCTACTTTCCACTTTAGAGATATACAGGTCAGGCACCGATGCTTGCTATAGTTCACACTTCAAAGTATTTTTAGTCTCTTATTCTTTACTGCCATTATTCTCTCCCTGTTAATCTTTTCAGACTGCAGAAAGAATCTAGTGTTGCCATCTCTATACTACATGAGAGTTCCTGTCTATCTAAAGATATCTTTATCGTTGACAGAAAAAAACAACACACTCATCCCATGATATAGTGAATGGATGAATTTTTGGAGTGGGTGGATGATGACTCCCATAGTAAAAGGCCAAGATGGTTGAGTGATTGTGGGAGTCATAATCTATAGAAACACATTATATATGTTTTGGATGCAGGTATAAATCTTGTTCAGCACAGTAGATCTAACAGTGAAGCCAAGAGGAAAGGGGGCTATAAGGCTGACATTACAAATCTATAGGGTCTGTCCTCGGGCTTTCCACTCCATCAAATTCATCTGAGGAAGTAGGCTCAAGTCTACAAAAGCTCATGCTACCAACTTCTATCTTTCAGTTAGTCTCAAAGGTGCTGCAAGATCCCTTTGCATACTAATTTTCCAGACTAACATGGCTATATCTTCATATTCTAAAACGTATTTATAATGAGAACATTCAGGGGTAGCTGTGTTGGCCATTTAGCAAATTCAAACAAAAATCCATCAGTGATACCTTTATTGGCCAACCAAAATATATTTTGGGTATATTGTGCAGTACAGGAACTTTATCAAACTGCGAGTCTCAATCTTCTCCATCTTACACTTTAGTCACTTCTGGCAGAACCTGTAACAAAAATAAAGGACACAATGAGCTGATTTTCTCAACATCATGCACTTAGGGATCAATGATGGCACTGACAACATTTCATCAATATACGATAATAACGTGTGGGTGATAATTAGTACTTTACGATACCCCGTTGTACATCAAGGCTAGGCAAAGTGAAACAACCTGTTAGACTAGATATTTAAAAAGAAAATTCATTAGTTTGGGTGGAAAACTGCTACATATTGCAGCCATCTCCTGCATGTAGGTTTGTAAGAATTTGCCATTTTGGAATGATCCAAGACAGAGGGGAGGGCAGGTATTTAAACTGTTTTAACTCATGAGTTAGAATTGCATTAAATATTCTGAGGAAAGCATGTGCTATGACTTCTTTCACACCATCTCAAAGGTGCTACAAGATCCCTTTTGCATATAAATATTTTCCAGTTTTACTTTTCTCCAGTTTTAATATTCTTGAAGAGAAACAAGCATTTTCTTGAAGGCTACATTCTTATGTGAAACTCTATTTCAGAATGTTGTTCAGCATCATTCCAGCTATCCTGGTTGCTTCATTATCCTACATAGACAATCCCACTCTGTGACTAGGTTGACACAAGAGTGCAATCCAGTTTGCACAATGATAGTATAATGTTGGCAATATGGGGCAGCTGTGAGGCCAATGTCAATGGATAGGTTTGCAAGGAATACTCCAGATTTTTTTTTGGAGGGGAGGAGGAAGAAGATTTCTTTTTGCATTTGTCAAGAATGTTCACCAACCTTCTTTTTGGTTCTGCTTTGTTCCAGATTCCCAGTGTTTTCCCCTAAACTACTGCGGTATGGTAGGTTAAAAATTAAAATAAATAACTGTGAAGCCATTAGCCAGGCAATCAAACCTTTCAAATGCTGTGAAGTGGGCCTATGGAGGAAAGGATGCAACCTTGAGGATTGTTTGTTAAAGAGGGAGATGAGGCAGGATATAATTGTGTTGTTGTGTGCCTTCAAGTCATTTCTGACTTTTGTTGTTGTTGTTGTTGTTGCTAACTGTCCTCGAGTTGATCTTGACCCATGGCAACCTATGGATGAGACATCTCAAAGACCCTCTGTCCTCCACTGCTCTGCTTAATTCATGCAACCCCTTAATACCCAAGTGATCTCCTTCATAGAGTCCCTCCATCTGGCATGTGGCCTTCCTCTCTTCCTACATCTTCCCCAGCATTATTGGGTTTTTTTTCCAAAGAGTCCTCTCTTTTCATTATGTGTCTGGAGTAAGACAGCCTCAGTTTGGTCATCTTGGCTTCCAGGGAGGTTTCTGGCTTGATCTGCTCTAGGACCCTTTGTTTGTCCTTTTGGCTATCCATGGGGTCCTCAGCACTCTTCTCCAGCCCCACATTCTCTCAAATGCATTGGTTTTCTTCTTATCTTCTTTCTTAACAGTCCAGCTCTCAGTTCCATACATGGTAATAGGGAATACAATGGCTTGTATGATTCTAACTTTTCTGCTGAGTTGTATATCTTTGCATTTTAGAATCTTTCCTAGTTTTTTTCTTTCATAGCCACCCTCCCCATTCTTTGTCTTCTTCTGATTTCCTGACTGCAGAAATAAGTCATTTCTGACTTATGGTGCCCCTATCAACTGGTTTTCTTGGCAAGTTTCTTCAGAGGGGGTTTGCCAAAGCCATCCTCTGAGGCTGAGAAAGTGTGATTTGCTCAAAATGATCCAGTGGGTTTACATGTCCAAACTGGTATTTGAACCCTGGTCTCTAGAGTTCTAGTCCAACGTTCAAACCATTACACCATTCTGGCTCTTGTAGGATGAAATAGGGAGCCAGAAATGGTGTTTGAAGGCCAGTTAGCAAGAGAGGAATTGATAAGATCTGAACTGGGTCTTAAGGAGCTGGGAATGTAGAAAGAATTCAGGGAGCTCATATTTAACTTAATTGTTATATAATAAACTTTTACTGGTTTTATCTTCTACAACTGTGCATGACTATTTCCATTTAAACATTAACAAGGAAAACTTATCACACCTTACTGCATTGATCCCACTGATCAACACAGCTACTAGTCCAGGATCACTTTGAGGCCTGAATACCAGATCCAGGAAGGCATCCTGGAGGTGAAAAGGCTAGTTGAATGATAGGAGCCCAAGGTTACAACTATGGATTGCTGGAATAGAAGTTCCATCACAATAACAATTAACTTTACAATTCATTGAACTCTTTTATTGAATCAGCTCTGTCACTGAAATATAAACATTCCTTACTTTTCTTTGTGTTTTGCCACCTGCTCGAGACAATATGACCTCAATGGATAAGATAACACATTTGAAAGCAGAGGATAAAGCAGGGGGATAAAGAACAATACAGAAAGTGTGGATATTGACACAGTAGAAGAATATAAGGAGAGCTCTGGTGGATCAAACCAATGACCTATTTAAGCCAGCTCTGTTTTTCCATAGTGGCCAACAACACACTTACTATGGAACACCCATAAGCAGAGGATGGATGTAATGGTAGCTTCCCATTCACAGCCTTATTTAGGGGTCAAGTCACAAAGATGTTCCAAGACTGTTCGCACAATAATTGCCACCTGAGTAATACTGGAGCCATGTTCAAAAGTTCATATGTACAATGAGAGAACAGCTCTTTGCTGGTGGTCCTGAACAGATATATCAAGATTGTATCTGGATCCCAGAGGAGTACAAGGTCAGAAAGGCTAGGAACAGTCAAGCGATGTAAGCCTTCATATGAACAAGGAAGGTCTTTGTGCTATCGCTGGAGAATGTGGATTTGAACCTATAGGCTCAGCTATGTTCCTTTGGTACAGTGGAGCAATGAAGATGACAGGATTCTCCGCAATTTGTTCCACTTGGTGTTGATCAAGGGAAAGAACTAATAGTAAGATTTCCGTAACTGGTTTTATACTTCCGGTTTCCCTGTCTACATCTAGGGTTCATTGAGAGCCTGGTTTCCCGTCCTCTTATTATAGAACCAAAAAATTGGTTTGCCTCTTTGTTTTCCAGATTAAAAAAAAAGGAGCAGTAATACAGGTTGGCAGGACATGGAAAGCCACAAGATTCAAATCTCTGTGGTATGTTTGTTCTTATTAAATAGAAATCTAGACTCTAGTTATAGGACTGTGGCTTGTTGTTTGGAAGGAAATGAAATGAATTGGCCCTTTCTGCAACAGGCAAATCAATCTCTGATATTTATTTCTCCAAAGGAATAACTGGATTTAATTTGGGAAAATTGACTTTTTAAAAAAAGCATTTACAAGTTTGTTACACAAAAGATGGAGCTTATTTGGAGGCTTCCATTCTAAAAACCATTCACATTATGGGTTTATACAAATACCTAGGGAACAATGAATTGAGAAAGCAATGGAGAAAATGGTGATGTAAATAAGCAACAGTCCAACCATATTCAATATTACAAAAACATGTGCTGTGACCTTTTTTTTTTTACATTTTAAAAGCTAACTAAATGTGCATTCTGAACATCTTTTTTTAAAAAAAGAGAAAAACATCCAGTCAAGGCTGATTTTGAGAATTCATCGCAGAATTGAAAGGCTCTTATTTTTAGAAATCCACACTCATATATCAGTTTTCAGCTGGTGTTTTTCTTGTACAGAATCTCATTTGCAGTACGTGCATGAATCCCACCACCCTTCATGGCATTTGCAGGTATTCCAAATGAGTCCAAAATGGATGATATGGCCACTCAAGTGGCTCCTCCTTTCCTGCTAAAATTCTGTAGTGGTGACTTGGGTTACTTCAGAATGTAGCTCATCTTCTTTCTGTCCTTTGCAGCCCCTTTTGTGGCTGTCCATGTCTAGTCATGCTGACTTATTGAGGACTTCAGAAGGCGTGCAGGTAGAGACACGTTCGCGGGTGGTGGTCTGGGCCCGGCTGAAGCTGCTCTGTTCCATCCGTGACTGGAAGGGAAGGCAGAACTCACGGAAACACCGCTTGAAATTTTCATCCAAGAAGGCATAAAGAATAGGGTTGAGGCTGCTGTTGGTGTATCCCAAAGCGATACAGAAATGCAGGCTGGCCATCACATAGGGGTTCTTTTTGTCGATGCCCACCAGGGTCCAAACAATGACAAAGATCTGGATGGGTGTCCAACAGATGATGAAGGCAGCCACTACTACTAGAACCATGCGTGTGATGCGACGCAGGTTGCGGTCTTTTTCCTTGGAGCCCGAGAGGAGACGGACGCTCTTCAGACGAAGAATCATGAGTCCATAGCAGATAGTGATAACCAAGATGGGAACCAAGAAGGCGAAGATGAAAACACATATCTTGGTGACTGTGTCCCAGTAAATCTGAGGTTTTGGAAACTGGAGGATACACATAACAACATTACCTGCATAAAAGGGTGAGGAAAAGAATGAGGTGAAAAAGAAAAAGACAGAAAGAGAGAGAGAGAGAGAGAGAGAACTTGGTTAGTAAATGAGTGCTTTCTTTTTGAAGGTTCAATGGCAGAGCATGTGCTTGGAAAGCAAAAGGTCTAAAGTACAACCACTACTAGCATCTCTATGTTGAACTGGGAAAGTTGCTGTCATTGTTGTGTGCCTCCAAGTCATTTTTGACTTATGGCAATCCTAAGGTTTTCTTGGCAAGTTTCTTTGGAGGGGGCTTGTCATTGCCATCCTCTAAGGCTGAGACAATGGGACTTGCCCAAGGTCACCCAGTGTTTTTTTTATTGGAGAACTGCTCTCCTCTCCATGTAGAAAACAGCAAAGTAGTTGGACCAATAAGGCAGATTCTGCTAGTCCTATTTAGACAGTTCTTTATTTAGAACTGTGAATTGTGGAACCTTACTTAATTTTCAAGTGAAAAAAACCCACACACCATAACTCAATGGTAGAGCGCCTGCATGTAAAAAGTTCAGCCTTCACAAGCTTGGAAAGATACTCTGTCTGAAACTCAGGAAAACAGCTGCATGTCAGTGTGGACCAGCCTTGTCAAAGCAATTTCAGTGTCCCAAACTGTCTTGATCAACAAATCCATTCACTCCCAACAACTGGCCAATGTGGAAGATAAAGAGGTCCAGTTTTGACAGCAAGACACAGCTGACACCGTTGACTGTTATTTACAGAGCCATTTGCTTAGTGTAACAAGTGTAGGAACATCAGGGCTTGTTGCTGTTGTGATTCCTGATTAGTTTCAATACAGTTAAATACCTCTGAGACTGTTTTGTATATGACTGAGCTATATTTGCAAACCAACCAGAAGGAACTCACAAATGGAATATAACACACTTCTTCCTCTTCTTCTTTTTATGAAGAAGGAGTTTCTATCTGCAAAAAGCAAAAGCTCCTTTGCAAGTGACATCTGTCTGATCCCCACCACCTTTGTTGCCCATTACTGTTCCCAACAACAGAAACTGGGAATGTTATTTTTTTGGACTGCAGTATCCAGAATTCCTCAGTTATCATGGCTGGGTCTTCTGGAGTTATAACCCAAAAGGTAACTTTCCAAAGTTCTGCCAAAGATCTAAGCACGCAAATAATACGGTCTACACATAACTGAGAAAATCTGTCTGGTTCACTTTCTTCCATCCCAAATATGTGATTTGCAAATATTGATAAAGCCATTGTCCTAAAGTAATTGTTAGTGCTAGTTATAGTAGACCCACTGAAATGATGGAAATATAGCAAGTCAATATTTACGGACGTTTCATTAGTTCAATGATCTACTATAATTGGGTATTACAAGCAGGCATAAGCTTTCAAAATCTAATTGATTTAAATATCTAATCTAAAGGCCTAAGCAGACTGCCAGAAATAGTGCACATTAAATTGAGGCACTGCCCTGGCTCAGTGCTAAGGAATCATGGGAACTGTATTTTTTTCTGAGACATTGAGCCTTCTCTGTCAGAGAGCTCTGGTGCCATAATAAACTACAGTTCCCATGATTCCCTAGCGACATCACTAGGGTTGGTGTCACACACCTCCACTGACCATCTCCCATTTCATGCCATAGAGAATCCTTAGCCATGTTTTTTGCACTAATGTTACTAGTAAATCACAATTCCCATATACCACTGAATGCAATGCTAATAGTTGTGACATAAACAACTAGCAAAATTCAAAATTATACCTTCAAATTATAGTATCATATGCACAACTTAAATGTATTTACATATACATAGTGAAGATTTGGTAAAAATGTGGTTTATTTAAAGAAAATTTAAAAGATTTTTTTTTTCATTTGAAATTTTAATTTTAAAAGATTCTGGGACCTCTCTTCTCTCATTCCACTGAGCTTCATTCCACTCCTACCATCCCTTAAAGCATTTTAAAGGGATGCAGTCAAACTCTACAGCCTGTTTCTGACCAAAGGTACCGTAGGTGTTTGAGGAGCAGTGGTGTCACCCCTCTTAGGGTGTCACCTGGTGTGGTCTGCACCCCCCCTAGTGACGCCACTGAGCCTTTCTACTTCACTGGCTATTTCTGGCTTGCCTTAGCACACAACACAAAACAAAAACAATGAATCCACTTGGACTAAATTATGCACATTTCTATGCACTAAGTTGCTCAGCCCAAAGGACATTCCTTATAGCGATGCTGCCACTTCACATATGTGAGAAACCAAAACTAACAAATTCACTCACCCAGATCCATAGCTAATCAGTTCTGTTTTCTCACACATTTGAGGTTTTCAAAAGTTATTCTAAGTAACTTCCATTCTAAATATAAAGAAGTTTGTGGATGCCGGCAATATTTTTACCAGATCAAACTGAAACAAAAGTTTCACGCGTCCGTGCTAAACTAAGACACATGCTAAACTATGACAC